CCAAGATTATTACAAAGCTACTGGCCCACATGGGACCTGAAATTAGCTTCCCAACGTTGAACCTAAGCTGCCCCAACGCCGCATGCCTTCATCCCAAGCCAACCTCCGTTTTTCACGGCCACACGCTGCCAACTCCGAATCCTTCGGCACAAGGAGAGCACGCCAACGTCACGCAACCACAACAAACAAACAAGTTCAGTGTAGATAGGATTCATAAAAATAGGATCTATTCGCACTATAAATACATGTAATCAAACAATCAGGGGGACCAGGGGCAGCAGATTCGAAATGGAAACGAAAAAAGAAAAATAACTAGGGTGATTCAGGGAAAAACTTACAGTGGAGAAAACCCCGAAAAGAGCCAATAAATTATCACCAATTGTTTGCCTAACCGCGTCAGAAGCCAAATCCTCCACTCTTCTCTCGTACCAGAACCGCCACACGGCCATGAAAACATGCATAAAGGTGCAACCTTTGGCGAAGAACGATTGGGAATCCATGTCCTCAATGAAAGAGACCATGAACAACAAGAACCCGATGACAAACAGGAGCAGACCCGAGAAGGAATCGAAAGTTCGGATCAAGAGCTGGTCGTGCATGATGGCCTCGGTTTTCCTGATTAGTTTCCTAAATATCTAAGCAAAGAAAGAGGGATGGGAAAGTAGATAAACGGCGCAAGGAACAAGGCCTGAATGTAATTTGGTTTTTATTAAACCTATACGCATGGAATAACTTCGGCTTTAAAAGTGGAAAAGTCCAATTTGGTAATATGGGATAATTACATGTGAAAGGTGCAATCTTTGGTAACATTTTGATTCATCAATTTGTTTTTATTTCATATTATTCCTTCACATTTTTTTCATTTTATTTGGTCCCTTAAATTTTTAATTATTCATTTTTTCCTTTGATTCATTTATTAATTTATTTTTATTTTTATTTTATTTTTTTCCTTTTGATTTATTGTTATTATTATTTTATGTTTTTTTCTTTGATTTATTTAATATTTATGTATTGTTTTTAATCTAACATTTTTTTAGAAGAATTCCAACCAAATCAAAGGTAAGTAATTTGAATTGAGTTTTTTTAAATTTAAATTTAAATTTAAATTTTCGCAAATAAAGACAACCGGTAAATTAATTGGTACCGAAAGGACGGTTCAAGGGTGCTAATCCTTCCTTGACCGTAATCGACTCCCGAACCCGACACGTTTCTGGTACAACGCAGATCAGGTAAGATGGTGTCCGACCCACCTAAATTCGTTTTAAAGTGGTCGGTGGCGACTCCAACCCAATTATTTCAAGTCGAAGCCCATTCCGGGGCACAACCGAAAGACGGTTGCGACATCTTTTTTTGTTTATTTTTTCATGATTAAATTTGACGTCGTCTTAATTGATCAAGATGATGTTTATTTATTATTATGTTGTTTTTCAATGCTTTAGACCCTAAGATTAGATTTGGAGACAATAGATTTAATTAAAAACAATGCCATGTCACTCAAATCATATATGATGGCTCAAGAATATTATATTAGCTTTCGTTGTGAATTTATATATGTTTTATATTAAAAAATTTCTAATAGCCGATTAGTTTTTCTTCATTTTTGGTTGATAGGCTATAATACCAACTTTAGGGTTGGTTGTCGCCATCGATTTTTTTTCTTTTGTTTTCTTATATCACAGATTTAATTTTCTTTTAGGTTTTTAGTTTTAAATAATTATGTCTTTATGGCACGTTTTTTATCTGTCTTTATGACATGTTTTTTCTATACTTTAGTACATCGTTTATCATTTTTTTTATTAGGATTTGATTTAACATCGCCACGACTAATCATGATGACACATAATTGTTATCACGATGATCTTTCTTGCTTTGAACGTTCGTATTTGATTTGGATACGCGATTTGCATTCGTTGATAGTTTTCTCACGTCGCTCGACTCTGATTAGCGATTTATCGGTAGTTTTTCAATAACTTGATCCCTTTTTTGATTCGTTTGTCGATACGTTCAGATCTATTTGTATATACCTTTCATTTGAATTTATTTATATCTACCCTTGATTGTAATTATGAGTATTTATCATTTTTAATTAAATTAGCTGCTTTTATAATATATATATATATATATATATAAAAAATATAGAGTTAATATTTTTATTTTTATTTAGAAATTTATTTTTTATTTTACACGAAAATTAAGAAATTAGTTTAATTATTGATAAATATGTGAACTGGAAACATTATTTTATGTTGACTTATTATGTATAAATTATTAAAGTATAAAATTTTATTGATTTTTTACGTACATATTGTTGAATTATAATTTTTCAAGTCAAAAATTTTATAATAAAGTTTAACGGTATTATGAATTGAATTAATTTATCAGTTTTTATAAAGTCTGGCTTTTATTTATATTTATTTTTTTGCTAAATCGAGGTATGGAACTTATAAATAATTAAACAAGTGGGTGTGCTTTCTTCTGAGGTCTGAACCAATCAATGATGCACTATTCCATGTGGTCCAATGACAACTATTCGCATTTCATCCAACAATTTCAATTTTAATGCTATTATTGAATCATACTGGTCCCATCCCAACATTCCATTGCCACCATTTTGTTTAATTTATTAAATTTATATAAAAAGTATTACGATTAGGGGTGTGAAAATCTGGGTACCCGATTATCAGGTACTCGTAACATCCTGGTCGGTGATTTTTTTGTCTTTGTTCCGACTCGGATGTTGCGGATATCCGGTAATCAGGTACCCGAATTTTGCAGGTATACTTTTTTTCAGTTTTAAATTATTAATTTAAAAAATATATATATAAAAATTTAAATGTTCAAAACTTCGAATTACATACTTCAACATCCGAACATAAAATTTAAACATTCGAAATACAAAATCTAATAAGTCATAATATAAATAATCTATTATATATATATATATAAACTAACAGGTACCCGGGAACTTCAATTTTGTGACCCGGGCCCGATCCGGCCGGATAATTTTTTTTTAGAAAATTACCCAATTTTTTTAGGTATGTGTCGGCGAGTCGGGTAGTTTTACACACCCCTAATTATGATTTTCTCAAACAATATCTAGGATGTTTTTGGTACAATAAGAGTAATTAAAGAAAGGGACTATTTATTATATGGGATGCGTTGTTAATAACTAAAAATTAATAAATAAATAAATATTTTTTTATAATCAATTTAGATTATTTAAAATATATCAAACTGAAATAAATATAATTCTTATTATTTTCTTTATTAAAATCACCAACGAAAACATATTTTGGTACCAATATTTTTTTTTCCACATTTCCAAACACATAATGTTGACATTTTAAGACTGGATGTGATGGATAACCCCTCCTTTCCCTCTAATTTCATGTGCATTTATGGTGCACCATTCCCTCTTTATATTCGTAACATGAACTCCAGTCCATGACCTGTAATTTGATAGGAATATATATCTAATACAAATACAATAATATTTTTGTTTAAATATATTCATACTCATTTTAAATATATATTAAGAAAAACATAAAACTCAGATAATCAACTTTAATATCAGTTTTATCAATTGAGTTTTAGTTCGTTATTAGATATATATTTAGATTGAATCGGATCAAAATGAACGAGTTTGGATTGAATACTCAACCGATCGAACACAAATATACTTGGACATCAACCTTGTCATTTTTAGATGGCCATGGAGTTTATGGTACCACCCATATATAAATATATAGAATAATTGCATGTTTATCCATTTGAAAGGTGTCATTGTGGGCAACATTCTTGGTAGATTTGGTCATTAAATTTGATGACACCATTGAAACTTTCAGCTTTCTATTGAATCCACAAAATGGTTAAGTGGAAGAGGACTGGGTGATTATATGCCACATTTTTCGACCTTATGGCGACTTTTTATCCTATTGTTCGCAAATTCAACCTGCACCATACTTTAGATTTAGCATTGTTGTACCTCATTCGGATCTCATCCGTAAGTTATACCTTCGCTATCATTCTTTTATCTATTGAACTCTAAAGATTTTAAAATTTCTTAAAGTCTTCGAAGTTTCATATCCTTCGACCAGTTATAATATTTTGACGTGACCACTCGCAGGCACACGTGATCTACCAACTAAATCTAGTATTTAATAATCAGATCTATTTAGTCAATTAATTTATAAATAAATATTGTTACTTTAAATCTGACACCATGAATATATAAATTACTATATAAATCCGACACTAAAAAGAATCAATCGATATAAATCTCCAAGAACAAAATAATTAGTCCAACCTCCTATCAACAATTGTTAATTTTTTATTTTAAAAACAAAAATCAACTCAAGTCGTTTATCGCTGCATGATGCAGGAAAATGTGTAAAGTGCAGAAAAAGTTGGAGCATAGAACAGCAAAGCAGTGTTTGAAAACAACAAGAGATTAAGTGAGAAGAAGCAGTTGTATGATACCGAAAGCTTAAGGTGCTGGGAAATGGTTAACATATGTAATGGAAGGGTATTACATCAATGGCAATAGTGGGGAGGTGGGACTTATTGGGTCATAAGAAGATGAAATAAATGGGCAGTTTCTGCGATGCTTGTGTCGTCTTGTTTTCGGATGTTTGAGTTCGCAGATAGAGGAATAAAATGTCAAAGCTTTAGGCTTTTTTAAGATAAGGCTCCCAGAACATGAATGTCCCCATGGTTGAATATCAAGAGAACAATAATCAGATGAATAAAGGTAATTTGATTGGACAAAGTGTGGTCTATTAAAGCCTCTTTTTGGGGTCCATTTCGCCTAGCAAAGTTCAGAATCTCCTCTTATGTTCCCATGCTGTTGTGCATTTTTGTAACACTAAAATATATGGACCGTTGTTGTTAAACTTTTCAGAGAGACGTATTCAGTACTTTAAAAGGCAATATCCATGCAAAATATTCTTGACGAGAAATTACATAATTAAAAGATAATTTATGTTCATAGGGAAAAGATTTTAACTATCTATGATGTTCGGACCCTTGGTGTATGCGGTTTCGACGACCATGACTGCTTTGTGACTCTTGCACCCTAATATCCCACCCAATCGGCTTCTCTGTGCTTCTTTGGTTGTATTGGCCACTCTAGTGATGCTTTTCGATCTATTTTCGTTGTGATCGGAAACAAACGAGCAGTCCGCTGCTACGGCAGTGACGACGCTCCATTCGACGCTGGTCTCGCTCGGTGCATACGGACTGTCGCGGTCTATGTTGTTGATCTCGAAGAGATCTGAACTACAATCACTGTCGACATCGTCGTCCATTCTATTGCTTCTCGAAATGGATGAAACGGACGGAGCATTGGGGATGGCATCCCAAGTTAACATGGACAGTTTCCTCTGGAGATTCTTGGTTACGTCCCCTTTCTTCATTGCTGTGGATCCGAATACTTCCAGGGAATTCCGTGGATCATCCAGCTGTGTTTCGAGTTCCGGAATCGGAACTGACCGAAAATTCGTCCGATCGACATCATCTTTCGGACTAAATTTCGGTTGAACCGATTTCCTGCTCACTTCTTTCGCATGAACCCTTCCACGATCAACATCTTGATTGACATAAACAGATTTCCCATTGGAACAAGAGCCAGTGCAGCTAAGATTAGCGAAAAAACTCCTTCCATCAACCCTCTTCTTCTTGTTCATTGATCGATCCTTCATGAAACTTCGTAACAGAACACTTTGGCTACTCCAACTTGCTTCGGAACTTGCACTCGGTGTCCCGGGCCACCGCCGTGGACCCTGCAGCGAATCATCTCGCTTATTCGAAAACTTGTCATCACCATCACCCTCAGCATCGTCGAGTTTTGTACTGAAATACTTTTCAGCTCCGAAGACACTGATTTCACCGTCCGGGCTCTTATTTCTTGTTAATCGAGGTTGTGCAATCTTATGCACAAAGATCTCTTCCGCAGTGCTACGGTAAGAAGAAAACGAGACCTCACCAAGACCGGTGGTTTTCCTCTTCTCAACATCCATTGTATCAAACATGCAGCTGGTGAAAGAAAAACTGGGATTCAACTTGATAATGGATTGATCTTTCAAGTTTCGAGGAGATTTAGGTTTGGGTAAAGCTAGAAAAGATAGCAGAGGTCTGAGGAAGTAGTGGAGATCACTGGGTTTCTTAAGAAGCAAAAGCTGATAATCATGAGATCCTACTTGACTGTGCCTTTGATTGACAATTCATCACCTTTTCCTCTCTACATATACATGTAGATATTTATTCTGTGGACTAAAATGAATATTTGAAGAATTTAGGGAGGCTTATATTACAACCATTAAAATTCATTTTCAATAGGATCATTATCATAAATTGTGTTTAAGAAAAATTGACATAACACGTTAAAAATTCTAAAAGAAAAAATCTTAACTTCTATTCTTTCATATCGACAATCATCACTCTTTTTTTTATCGTTGTTAGATGGTTTATCTTACTAAAAAGATTATCGAACTTCTCTCTTTTTCTTTCGTTCTTTAGATTCAAATTTATCAGGAAAATATTTTAATTTCCTAAATCTCAATCGAAACTAAAAGCTAAAATTTATCAACATATCATTATCAACCGTTAATTCATTTAAAATCGAACTATATTAACCTTCCGACTAAACGGAACCTTCCTTCCATTCAAATTGACCGACCACAGTTTCATCTATGCCCTTCCACAGTGAGAATTATTGTCCTTTGCATTCAAGAATTTAAGTTGTACTTCAATTCAAAACATGAATCTATGTCCAAAAGTACTTTCATTTCAAACATTTTAGTACTTTTACCGTTGATTTGATGACATCTTAAAAAATATTATTTTAACCTTTACTTCTTTTTTTCTATTTTAACTCTCCAACATCGAATTTTTCATATTTTTAATAATTTAAATATTTTTTTATAATAAAAATAAATTAGCACTTTCATTTAATTATTTAGTTTGCATGAAAATCATTAAATTTTAGATGAGTTCATTGATGAATTATATATACATACATATTGAAGTAAATGACCACACTGTAGCCAGTTTCTACCCGTCTGCAGGCTTAGAGCTTTGCCACCAATGAATTCATTATCATGCTCTAATTAGAATGGCTTAATTGGCAAGTTGAAGATATATATGGTTTGTTCCAAGCAGCTTAGCATGTGCAGTTGCAGCTATTGCTTCTGTTTCAACATGCTCCAACTCCAAGCTCCTTTGAGAACGGATGGTGAGAATCAACAACCATCATCTGTAACAACGCCATCATCAAGATGAAAATTCGAACAAGTTATGAGGATATGATCCTCCAAAGACCTATAAAAATGCATGAAAATCTGTAAAAAAAAATGAACGTGTCTATGTTGGAAACATGCACATAATCGACATCTAGGTATGTTGAAAACATGCACATAACCGACATTTAGTAACATATATAGACCGACAATGGTAGATCCACGTCTAGTGTGTTCATTCTGAAATCCGAACTCAAGCCAAAGAAGAAGATTTAAGGGCGATGTCTCTGACAAATTTGAGAAGTGCTAAGGTCTTTTCTTCAGCAGGGGCTAACTCTTTCACCAAAGGCACCTGGTTTATGGCTGTCACCAGGAGAATATCAGCGGAGTTCTTTCTGGTTTAATTATCTGTATGTCAAGAACTTGCTCTTGAAGCTTGTAAGGTCCAAGCAAACAACAAATCAGGATTTCCAGAATTCCCATGTTTTGATGTCTGATTGAAGGAATTCCATTGGGATAAAACTCCTCTATTCCCTCTTCCAGCACTTGCAGTTTCTCCAACAGTTCATCGATCGCCCTCTCCTGTGCCTCTCCAGCAGTTTTCAACACTGTAAACATAGTCTCGTATAGCTGCACAAAACAATGCAAATTAATATTGGATTCGATTTTCAAATCTAAAGAGTGTGTAACTTATGTAGATTATCTTTGAATAAATATCAAAATTACACATTGTTATATCTTTGGAGATTCCGAAAATAGTATCTCTGTCTACATTCAACCGGAGTTTCATACTCCTTGGATGGTTACAACCCTATAATTAGACTTCAGACAGTCTCACGTAATTTACTAGAATCAAACATGCTCCAACATTATAACCATCTTCAAACATGAAGATAATCATCGCCATCATAGATCTAGCATCAATCATCTTATAACTGGGTTATTCATATCCCAAGGAAAGACTGAAAGAAGGGAGCTTTCCCTCTTTTCATCTCTCTTGGCCGGGAACAATCTTTTCTCTTACACTATTTGTCTTCTCTTTTCTCTAAGATAAAAACACCAGCCAACAATCATTATCTTATCTCCTAATTCTTCGTCTAAATAAAAAAAGATAAACTCTCGGTTACCAACGAGAAAAACTTGTTCCTACTAATATACATGAACTTGTGAAACATAATGGTAAGGGCATTCTATTCATACAAAACTAATCACTTCACTTGTAGTTTCTTAACCTTGCCCCATATGCAGTTCATTTCCAATGGCAAGGGCATTATATTCATAGATAATTGCAATACCAAATCTATCACTTTAATAACACCTACCTAACAATTCAAAGATAGCAGTTTGTATGAAATGAAATGCATGAAAAAGAACCAGATATTCAGTAAAAAACACAACTTAGCTTTGGGTTTTTTTCCCTTTACCTGCTGATGAATGAAGCTGGCCCAGAATCGAACATTGGCTCTTCTGTAAGGATCCTGAGGCAAGAGCTGAGGGCCAACCTTCCAGGTTTCATCGATGTATTCGATTATGCAAAGGGATTCAGCAATGGGTTTTCCATTGTGAACAAGAACCGGGACTTTCTTGTAGACAGGGTTGAATTTAATCAACGAAGGGCTTTTGTTGTTTAGATCTTCTTCAACATACTCGAAAGCTATGCCTTTGAGATGGAGAGCCAATTCTACCCTCTTAGCATATGGACTGCGCCATGTTCCGTGAAGCCTCACTGTGTTTGCTTCTTCCATTCCTATGATCTTAAAGTTACATCTTTGCCGAAGCTTCATTTATAGATATATTCGAAGCCATCGCCCATAACTTGCAGTGCACATCAAGTGTTTGTTCAATTCCCCAAGAAAGTCAAATACGCCGAACTTCGTGAGTAGCCAGTCAACATCGTCTGCTAATAGATTCCACTTTACCATGACCCCTTACAGTAGTATTCTGTTGTAACTATCGATATTTTAATTTTATTAATTAAATCAATTAATTATCTAAATATTATCACTCAAATCTTAACATTTGAAGTGAAAGTTCAAAACAAATATAATTATATATTTAATCGTTATTACTTACATATTATTTTAATTTGATATGAATTTTAATTTAATTTAATAAAACTAATAACATGTATTATAATACATGTCTTTGTCTTATTGGATGAAAAATAAATTTTAAAAAGATGACATTGGAAGGTTTCAAACTTGAGACTAAGGAGAATTTGATACAAAAATTTAATTTAACATGTTGAAGAGAGCTCCATCTTAGACAGATGGATCCTGATGAGATCAAATAATCTAATTTTTAAAGTGAAAAGTCAAATGATTAACCATTGTAAAGCAAGTGATGTATTGGAACCAGGGAAAACAGCCATTGTAGAATCTATTTATAAGTAGCAAAAGCAGCAATCTGATAAAAAAAACAAAGGGATAGATGGAGATGGAAGAGGTCAACATGGTGAAGTTGCATGGAGTAGGGGCGGATCCATACTCGAAGAGAGTGGAAATGGCCCTTAGAATTAAGGGCATACCCTATGAATACATAGAAGAAGATATGAACAACAAGAGCCAATCGCTCCTCAACTACAATCCTATTTACAAGAAGATCCCAGTTCTTGTTCACAACCAAAAACCTGTTGTCGACTCCCTTAACATCTTACAATACATTGATTAAACCTGGAAGAACCCTCCTCGGCTTTTGCCTCATCATCCATTTGAGAGAGCTAAGGTTCATTTCTGGGCAAATTTCATTCAACAAGAGGTAAAAAGTAAAAACAAATCGTTGTTTTTTTAATATATGTCGATCGATTGTAGATGTAACAAATGCTAATGTCAACCGTGAACACAGTTGTTCGAGGCCATGACAAGGGTGTTCGTGTCTGACGGAGAAGTTCAAGCGAAAGCAGTCGACGAAATGTACGGGAAAACAAAGGTGCTGGAAGAGGGGATGATGGGGTTTTTCAAAGAGACGGCTTCACCACCATTAGCCTCGGTTGGGACAGAGAATTTAGGGTTGTTGGACATTTTGATTTGTTCAATATTCAGCACCTACGAAGCTTATGAAGAGGCTATTGGGGTTAAAGTTTTGGACACTGAAAAGAGCCCCATGGTGTTCGGGTGGGTGAATGCCATGAAAGAGCTGCCATTGGTGAAAGGCTTATATCCACCTCATCACGAACTTGTGGCCATGCTAAAGGCTGCTAGAGAAAACAGACTCAAAGCTTCTTCCTCAACTTGACCTTGTATTTGACGCCCTTTATATCTGTTAAAATTATATCAGAGGGAGCACTCAAATGCAACCTCAGTTAATACCCATGTTTGATAATTTCTTATAACTTATAAAGAAAGCTCTGCTTATCCACTACATGTGTTTACATCTTCATTTCAATAAATATTTGTTAGGAAGCTAAGATACTCTCTTATATATACTAAAATTTAAGAGACTTGAAAATGGATATCTTTGGACACAAGCATGCTTTACGGATCATATCCGAATATCCATATCTAAAAATGTCTCAGACACTAGTTTCGGACAAGTGAAGATATGGAAAAACACGAACACAAGAAATACCACATCCACGATGAGCCTATACAGTTCTTTTATCGGTTTAATCTGGGCTTCTGTTGGTTGAACGGGTTTTCTTACAGGAATTGAATCCCCACGTCTTGGGAATGTACCAGACTAGATAGACTACAGTTGTAACCGGTCCTGATCAATTTTTATCATCTCCAACCAAAACAATTAAGACCCTAGAAATTAAGCAGTGAGGAAAATTACTAGATAGCATCATCTTTGATGGGTGAAACAGATCCAGAGGCTAGGTATAAAAGATTCTTGCTAGCAACTTCATTAACGTTTAAAACAAGCACCTCACGAGTAATAATGTGCACCATTTCATAATCCTTTAAACTCAAAATTTAATTGAAACAAAGTAGTGTTGAAAATAAAGCCTTCCATTATCTCATCTTTTAGCTCTTAGATGACTGCTTTTCCTTGGCTTTCTGAATCTTCAAAACCTTCTTCACTATCTTCTGTTCTTCAACTAAAAAGGCCCTAATGATCCTATACAAACATTGGAATATCCATTAATTATTCATCAAAACAAAAGAAAAGAAAAATTACTTCGGGTGTGAATCAGATATCAAAATCAATAAATTAATGAAAACACACCTTTCCCTGACTGCACTACCAGATAACACACCACCATATGCACGGTTCACAGTCCTCCTGTTCCTAGGTAGCCTAGACCTCTTGTATTCAGCAGGCCTCAAGTGAGGAATCTGCACAAAAAAGCAGTTAGTGAGTACATCGGGACGATTTCTTACGACATGAAATAGTTAAGTTTAACAAAGACAAAAAGAATTTAGCACTCTGAAAATAATTGAAACACTAAGTTCAAGTTTCCCCAAGAAATTGAAAAAAAAATTTAAATCCCTCGCCAAACTTCATCTCATAGCAACATTCCCATTGTTCGGAAACACACCGTGTTATTTAATGGAGAATAGCCCACCAAGAATATATATTGAAGCAATAATGCAGTATATTTTTACAGTATTGACAGTAAATCAGAATCAAACAAAATGTTTAAGTTTACAACAAGATCTTAGAATAATATTATTGCATATATGAGAATCTATATAACAAAAACAAACTACAAATGTAGCAAACTGCTTTCAGCACTGAATTTTAACTTTGATTAGAAATTCAATCAACAACATATTAGCATGGAACATCATCAGATATCTTGATAATATTAGACAGATAAAATAAAAACACGACATAACACAAAAATAACACGACATGGATACGCAAATTGTTGGATCTAATTATAAATTATCAGCTATTCCTCCAAAAGATAACCCATCAATTCAAAACCTATTACAAGTCTATAAGCATGCTTTTATATTTTCCTTCCCTACTAGTTTTCAACACGCATACAAGATGATATAAAAAATGCTAAAAGTTGATAAAAAGAACAAACCCCTTGGATTCGTTTGCCAGTAACAGGGCATTTGGGTCCGCTAGCTCTCTTCTTAGTTGTCTGGTAGACAAGTTTCCCACCTTCAAAAAACAACCAATGTCAACAAAAAAATAAATGAATTCGTCGTACCTATATAAATAACTCGTTGAAGGAGTATCGATTTACCAGGAGTTTTGACGACCCGGTGCTGGTTGGACTTGGTGGCGTAGCTATGGCGCATCTGGTATGTAAGCCGCTGAACCATTTTACTTCATCAGCTTTGATACGCTGTCACGATGAAGGGAAGAGAAGAGAAGAAATCGAGGAAGCTAGGGATTGAAAAATTAGGGCATGAAGAGAAAGGAATTGGGGAAAATCAAAACAGTGACGTTTTGAGTAAAACAAATGGATTGGGGCAGCAGGTACATGCCCAGATGAAGATAGACCTCAGCCCAGTGGAGAATTACTCTAATGAGGATTAAATCAATAATGGCAGGAGGGCTAGCTGGCGGATTAAAGAGTTATTGAGGGAAGGACAATTCTATTAGACACGTGTCCAAAAATAATAATATTTTGTGTCCAAGTATGCTATATATGCAAAGCTGATGTAAAGAGAAGTTTTAAGTAATTTGATGAATGAATTTCTTCTGAATTCTCAATTCTATTTCCAATTTCTTAATCCTTTCTTCAATCTTCTTGTTCACGACCCTAAATCGTGACAATTGGTATTAGAGTCAGGTTTTTTTTATCCAAAAATATTTTTTTTCTTTTCAAGCTGGGAAAACAAAAGAAACCGCAGAAGATGTTCGACCCTACACCATTGGAATCTCAGGAACAAATTGTCGATCAGTCGCAGGACAAAATTCCCAAGTGGTGGGAGGCACAGAAAGCACGATGGGAGGAACGTTTTGCTGATCTGGAAGCTCGTTCCGATGAAACCAGAGGGTATATTCAACGTCTCATCCAATTGGTCAAAGGTGCTGAGGAAGTAGATCAAGCATTCCCTCTGCACATTCAACAACCTACAGATAAGAACACTGCTAAAATGGCAGGTAATATTCATTTACAAGTGGTTGTCATTACTGATAAGGAGAAATATTCTTTTAACCCAAATGAACCAGGCATTTTGGCTTCTAAGCCTGCTTTGTGTCAGGCCATTGATTATACTACTGAAAACAATCCAAAGTTCAAGATCGGGAGTTCTTCTAACGAGTTGGGGGAAACTTCTAATGTGGCTAATGCATGAGTCTATATTCCTCGGCCTAGGATTGAACTTCAGTTTTTTGATGGGACTAATCCTAGTTGTTGGGTTAAAAAGTGACAGAAATACTTTTCGATTTTCTCGATTCCAAAACATCAGCAGCATGAAGTTGCTACTATGTATTTGTCTGGCAAGGCAGAAACATGGTTTGATGGTTATGTGATGAAGAAACATAGGGTTACTGGCATGAATTCGTGGCCGATTTGTGTCATAGATTTTCTGATGATTTAGTTGATGTGGTTAAGGAATTTAATAAATTGACACAAAGATCTTCAGTGGAAGAATATCAGACAAAATTTGAGGAACTGCAACCTTTTATGTTACAACTACATCCAGAATCGAAGAAGGGTATTTTGTTTCAAGTTTTATCAGTGGACTTAAAGCATAATTGAAGCACAAGGTTAAAATGCATGAGCCTCGTTATGTTGCTGAAGCATGTCAAAAAGCAAAATTGTATGAACTGTCTTTAGAAGTGAAAGGGTTAAAACCCAAGATTCCAATTGGCCATGATCATGATCATGCAATTCAATTAAAGCAGGGAACTGAACCAATTAATTTACGGCACTATAGATTTCCCCATCACCAAAAAAACAGAAATGGAAAAGCATAATACTGAAATGTTGGCATCCTCCATAATCCAGACTATAAAAGCCCTTTTGCATCTCTTTGTTTATTGGTTAAAAAGAAAGATGGCAGCTGGAGGTTATGTGTTGACTATAGGCAGTTGAATGGTATGACTGTGAAGAATAAATTTTCCATTCCAGTTATAGAGGACTTGCTGGATGAACCTTATGGTGCTAAAATTGTTTCAAAAATTGATTTGAGATCAAGATACTGGCAGATTCGAATTAAGCAAGAGGATATTCAGAAAATAGTTTTTCGAACCCACCATGGTCAATTTGAATTCAAAGTGATGCCATTTGGTCTCACAAATGCACCAACCACAATTCAATCTCTTATGAATGAACTGTTTGGCCCCTATCTAAGAAGATTTGTCTTAGTCTTTTTTGATGATATATTAATTTATAGTAGGTGTTGGCAGACACACTTATATCATTTGGAGTTGGTTTTGAATCTGTTAATGAGCAATCAGCTATTTGCCAGGAAGACTAAGTGTTTGTCTTGCCAGGAAAGAGTAGAATATTTGGGTCACATTATTTCTGCCCAAAGAGTAGCTACTACAATTATTCCCTTTTGGGTTCAGGAGGTTGAAAACAATTATAAGAATGATGAGTGCGTTAAAGAAATGATAACTAAAGTATCCTTACATGACAATGACTCTAGCGAATGGACATTTACTCAAGGAGTTTTGAGGTACAAGAAGAGGGTGTATATTGGCACAAATAGGAATTTACGCCAGCAATTGATTACCTTGCTTCATGACTCTCCTGTAGGAGGGCATTCAGGATTACAGGCCACCTATTATCGAATTAAACAGTATTTTTATTGGCAAGGGATAAAATCATCCATTAAGGTCCACGTGCAGCATTGTGATACTTGCCAGAGAACCAAGATAGAACATGTTCCAAAATCGGGTGTGTTACAACCAATTCCAATACCACAGCAAGCTTTGGATGTTATTGTATGGATTTTTTGGATGTTGCTAAAGTTTATTTGGAGCAGGTTTCTAAGCTTCAAGGTGCACCAAAGAGGGCTATTTCAGACATAGATAAAGTTTTTACAAGTCTTTTCTGGAATGAACTTATGAAGCATTTGGTTACTGAAAATTTATACAGCACAGTTTATCATCCTGAAACGGATGGACAAACTGAGAGATTGAATCAATGTCTTGAACAGTGCTTAAGGAGTTTTTGCTTCCTTAAGCTTACTACCTGGTTGAAATGGTTGTCCCAAGCTGAATGGTGGTACAACACCGATTTTCACACTGCGCTGGAAACAACACCATTTGAGGCTTTATATGGTTATAAACCTCAAATCTTAACATGGGAAAGAGAATCAACAGTTCAATATGTGGCAGACATATTATCTACTCGACAACACTTACAAACACTACTTCAAGATCAATTACAAAAGGCACATTCTCAAATGAAATTGTATGTTGACAAAAAACTTTCAGAGAGGGAATTTCAGGTTGGTGAAGAAGTTTACCTTAAACTTCAACCTTATCTTCAAACTTTGATTGCTCTCTGCAAGAACCTCAAATTGGATGCACGCTATTATGGACCTTACAAGATAGTCAAACGAATTGGTTTAGTGGCCTATGAATTGTATTTACCAGATTCATTCCGAATTCATCCAGTTTTTCATGTTAGTTTGTTAAAGAAGAAATTGAGAGACAAGGTACTGACCTCATTTGACTCTCCAGAAATGGCACCAGATGGAACTTTGAAGATCTATCCAGAGAAGTTTTTTAATAAACGCATGATCAAACGCAAAAATCAAGCGGTCACTCAACTCTTGATTCAATGGGCAAATATGGGGCCTAAAAATGCAACTTGGGAGGATTTTACGGTTCTGCAGTCCCAATTTCCTCAGTTTGATCCTTGGGGACAAGGAAATTTTGAAGCCGGGGGAATTGTCACGATGAAGGGAAGAGAAGATAAGAAATCGAGGAAGCTAAGGATTGAAAAATTAGGGTATGAAGAGAAAGGAATTGGGGAAAATCAAAACAGTGACATTTTGAGTAAAACAAATGGATTGGGCAGCAGGTACATGCCCAGATGAAGATAGACCTCAGCCCAGTGGAGAATTACTCTAATGAGGATTAAATCAACAACGGCAGGAGGGCTAGCTGGCGGATTAAAGAGTTGTTGAGGGAAGGACAATTCTGTTAGACACGTGTCCAAAAATAATAATATTCTGTGTCCAAGTATGCTATATATGCAAAGCTGATGTAAAGAGAAGTTTTAAGTAATTTGATGAATGAATTTCTTCTGAATTCTCAATTCTATTTCCAATTTCTTAATCCCTTTCTTCAATCTTCTTGTTCACGACCCTAAATCGTGACATACGCTCTCTCTGTCTATAGAAGCGGAGGCTGGAGGGTTTCTGTTTGCAGTGAAGATAGCAAATTAAAGACTCTGGGATCGAATGACAAATGATGCCCTAAATCTGACGGCTATTCTATCGTTTCTTTTAACGGTTGAGATTTTGTATCTTTAACTACTTTATTATTGATTTATTTACTTTTACGGAATTATATAACTTTGTAAAAGAAAACATAAATTTTCATTAAAAATCTTATATTAAAAAAATAGATACTATAACATGCAAGAACCAAATGATTTCAAAAGTTAAAGAGATAGTTGTTATCCCTAAAGATTTTAAATTCGAGTAAGTTATCTACATGAGTTTTTGAGTACTTATTGTCAAATGATTAAAAGTCTCTCGAATATATATTATCTTATAATCATCTCATATTAATTAAAAAAAAGTAACATAAGTAATAGTTGAATTACAACTTTTTAAAGAATTCATCGAACGACTTCAATGATAAAATGAAATTTTGTTCTTCATAGAGGGCTCGAGTTCAAACATTTATGTCTGTTGTGTGTACATTATCAATAATTAAATAAATATTATGAATATATATTATCTTATAATGAACTTACATAAAAAATTATAACTTTTAATGAATCTATTAAATAATTTTAATGATATAAGAAACAATATTATAGTACATGAAAAAATATAAAAAAAATTATAACCATTTCATAAAATTAAAAAAATTATAAATCTTAATGGCCGCATGACCCAACAAAGAGTTGGGTCAATATAATATTATTTTTAAAAACTTTGATTTAAAATTTAATTATTTAAAATCATTGTCAACATTATTTGTGTAAAGATAAACTATTTGGTTTGGATAAGATCCGTATATTTTTATTGGTTGGGTTGGGTCTAACTCAACCTTAAGATCCATATAGTTTTTATCCCTTCCTTGAAATATCCCTTATCTAATATCAGACCGGCACTATTAATGAGATTAATTCAACTGATAAATTATTTAATATATATTTTCTTTTTCTATTATTTTTTATATACAAGACAAAGCTTAAGTCCAGCTTTATAATTTAACAACGAACACAATCAAATTATTTGTTGTTAACAACGAGGTATGACTTGGACCCTATTGACTTGTACCATTCAAGAACATACACATGTGACTAGGAATGCAAATTGCGACCTTGTTAGCCATCTTAGGATGTAACATGTCAAGCTCTTGCAATAAATGAGATTTCATGATTTTGCAATTTTTTATTTTTTAACCCATCAACTGATTTTTGTGGTAAAAATATTATTATTTGACAAATTCAAAGTTTAAATTATTACGTCCGTAACGTGTATAAATTGTTAATAAATTAAGAAAATTGTAAATAAAATTATAAATTAAGAAAATTATAAATAAATTGTATATAGATACTTTCTTGAGTGGAAATGTTATTCGATCATTACATTTATGTTTTGGAAAGCGTCTCCTCGTAAGAGTTTTCGAATCTAGTACATCTTTTAAATATTTTGACGTCGTTTAATTGTAATATATATCTTGTTTTAATCTGGATAAATATGCTTTACAAATATTATTACTTGAATTTACATCACCT